GACGGAAAATGTAGTTCCCATTTTTAAAAAAAGGAGACAGAAAAGAGGCGCTGAACTACAGACCAGTATCACTGACGTGTATAGTATGCAAATTCATGGAGAAGATTATCAGGAGGAGAGTGGTGGAGCACCTGGAACGGAACAAAAGTATAAATGACAACCAGCACGGTTTCATGGAAGGCAAATCCTGTGTCACAAACCTTCTGGAGTTTTATGATAAAGTAACAGAAGTAAAAGACGAGAGAGAGAGGGGTGGGTTGATTGCATCTTGTTGTACTGCAAGAAGACCTTTGACACAGTTCCTCACAAGAGATTAGTGCAGAAACTAGAGGATCAGGCGCGTATAACGGAAAGGGCACTTCAATGGATCAGAGAATACCTGACAGGGAGGCAACAACGAGTCAGGAAACGTGATGAGGTATCACAGTGGGCACCTGTGACGAGCGGGGTCCCACAGGGGTCGGTCCTAGGATCAGTGCTATTTCTGGTATTTGCGAATGACATGATGGAAGGGATAGACTCAGAGGTGTCCCTGTTCGCAGATGATGTGAAGTTAATGAGGAGAATTAAATCAGATGAGGACCAGGTAGGCCTTCAAAGAGACCTGGACAGGCTGGACACGTGGTCCAGCAACTGGCTTCTCGAATTCAACCCTGCCAAATGCAAAGTCATGAAGATCGGAGAAACGCAAAGAAGACCGCAAACAGAGTATAGACTAGGTGGCCAACGACTGCAAACCTCGATCAGGGAGAAAGATTTTGGCTTGAGTATAACACCGAACCGCCCTCCGGAAGCACACATAAACCCAGATAACTGCTGCAGCAATATGGGCGCCTGAAAAACCCTGAGATTAGCATTCCGATACCTAAGTAAGGGAATCTTTCAAGACACTGTACACCGTGTACGTCAGGCCCATACTGGAGTATGCGCACCAGTTTGGAACCCGCACCGATCAATCACGTTAAGAAATTAGAGAAGTGCAAAGGTTGCGACAAGGTTAGTTCCAGAGCTAAGGGGAGTGCCCTATGAAAAAGGGCTAAAGGGAAATCGGCCTGCCCGGACACTGGGGGATAGGAGGGATAGGGGAGACATGATAACGACATGGGGACATAGAAAACAAGGGGTCACTCTTGGAAATTGAAGACTCAGATGAGTCAGAGGACTTTAGGAAGTAGCTCTTCGGTCATAGAGTTATCAGGAAGGGGAAACCAGTCTGGCGAGCTATGAGGGGAGGCAGGAACCATACATAGCTTTAAGACGAGGTATGATAAAGCTCATGGAGCAGGGAGAGAGAGGACCAAGTAGCGTTCAGTAAAGAGGCGGGGCCAGGAACTGAGTCTCGATCCCTGCAACTACAATTTGGTGAGTACACATACATTTACCCACACACCCACACACTCACTCACCCACACACCCACACACCCACACACCCACACACATGGAGCAGGAAGAGTGACCTAGTAACGACCAGTGAGGAGGCGGGGCCAGGAGCTGTGACTCGACCCCTGAAACCACAACTAGGTGAGTACACACACACACACACACACACACTGCCTCGGTCCAAATTCTGAGAAGTTCCCACCTGCTGCCTTCCAATCTCTGGAATTGATTGGGTTAGGTAAGGTTGGTCCTGACGCGGGTCTTAGTCATATGATGACCCGCATCTGGAGCTTATGGTCATCTGACCGAGGCCTTCCACTGGCTTACCCCTCCACTTCTTTAAAATTTAATAGTTTGTAATTAATTTCACTCTCAAAGACATCTAATTGACACAGTATTCTACAAATTTTTTTTCCCAATTAATTGCGATTCAAGCCTAACGGAATTCATAATAAACTGAAATCATTCGAAAAAGTTTTAGTAAACTTCTATTTGTTGTTGTTGTTGTTGTTGTTGTTGTTGTTGTTAAGCTCGTATCCCAGGTCAAGTGTTGTTTATGTATGAGTTGTTTCAATTTGTTCACTTAAATACTGGTTGGTTACTGAGCCTCGTTGGCAAGATTTGAGAGAACGTACATAACCTGACCCACACCCATGTTCCTTATAACACCCATGTTCCTTATAACACCCATGTTCCTTACAACACCCACGTTCCTTATAACACCCATGTTCCTTATAACACCCATGTTCCTTACAACACCCATGTTCCTTATACACCCTGTTCCTTATAACACCATGTTCCTATAACACCCATGTTCCTTATAACACCCATGTTTTCCTTATAACACCCCGTTCCTTATAAAAACCCAGTTCCTTTTTAACACCCCTGTTCCTTATAACAAACCCCCGTTCCTTATAACACCCATGTTCCTTATAACACCCATGTTCCCTTTTAACACCCATGTTCCTTACAACACCCATGTTCCTTAAACACCCATGTTCCTTATAACCCCATGTTCCTTAAAAACACCCATGTTCCTTATAACAAACCCCTGTTCCTTATAACACCCCTGTTCCTTATAAAAACCCATGTTCCTTATACACCCCTGTTCCTTATAACACCCATGTTCCTTATAACACCCATTTCCTTATAACACCCATGTTCCCCTTTTAACACCCATGTTCCTTATAACACCCATGTTCCTTTAACA